GGCTCCCTGGGTGCCAGTGGCCAAATATGTCTATTATTGTTAATACGTGTGTGTGTGTGTGTGTGTGTGTGTGTGTGTGTGTGTGTGTGTGTGTGTGTGTGTTCCCTTACTTGCTACATAGTTGTTGTTGGTTTTTTTTTTGCTACAGAGTGATGGCATTTTAGCTGGTCCTGACTTTGTGAAACACTTTTTTGAGGGTTAAGACTTTGTTTTAGGGATCAGGTTAGGACTAGGTTTAGGTTAGGCATAGGGTAAGGGTTAGGGCTGGGGACACACGCTATTATGTGGGGACATAAACCTGTTTATGGAGTCACACTGTGGGAATTGGACATCCTCATGAGGACAAAAAGCAAGCCCCCAAACACAGGTCATTATATTTTAGAGTGATGACTTAGTTTGAGGGTAAGTCTCCACAAAATTAATGTAAGTCAGTGCAATGTTCCCTGAAGTAATGGAAACACAACAATGTCTCTCTTCACACTGAATAACTATGGCCAGATTGATTGTTTTGGTTAGTGTGTTGTGCCCAGTACTATGATTACACTTTTTAAAACCATTCCATTGTCAAGGTCATGCAGTTGACATTACACCATTACAGGCCCTCACTAAAACTATTTTTGGCAGTGTATATATTCAGCCATGACCTTTTTGCCTTGTGAGACCGTACCAGGGGCATATAGCCCCTGACAACATACATATAGCTCCTAGGATCACTCGGATACTCAAACCCCTCCACCACAATAAGGTGGCGGTTCAAGGAGGGGTCAACCATCACTATAAAATATGTAAATAATTAGCGCAATAATTTAAAATACACACAAATAACAAATTCATAACCCAAGTTCAAACAAATGCGAGCTAGTAAGCCAGTCTAAAGAAAGACATGTTTTGAGAAACAGTGGTGCACTGGTAAATAGCAATGGAGAGATCATTCCAAAGCCCAAGTGCAGCATTAAAGAAGGCTCCAGCTCCCATTATGCTTAAATTAAAATCCGACACCTGCTATTGTTTAGACTTTCCT